ACTGTGAGTAGTGTTGACATAAAACATGTATCCATGGCTTTTAAATTTTCTTTTTAAGATTACTGCATTAAGCGTCATTGGAGGAGTTGACATTAAGGACAACGTTTGGCGGGTTATGAAGCATTGTTTTACCAACTCCCTTGCCAAACAACTCAACTGGCGTGGCATCAATGGCAAAACAGCTTTCCACAGACTGCAGCTGAAAGATGTCATTACTGGTAAGTGTTACATTGTGCTGTCATTAGTCTAATAAGTCCATTCTCCATTTCATGCATGTTTGATGCACAGTATATATTAATGCTAGGTTTAACAAACTCTAATCATGTAATTAAAAAAAGAAAAGAAAGTAAACAGTGAAGCACTGGTACTACCCTGCCATTGCAATGGTATCACAGCGTCAATTTATCAATAAAAGCTTAATTGGGGAAACAATCCCAAACATAGCTGTGCATCACCACACATATTTAGCTCTCATCCAGTGAGAAACTGAAACAACAGGCAATGGATATATCCTCCGTTACCTGTTGCATGGTATCTTCAGCCATCATCGTAACCCTTCTTGGTGGTGTCTGAGAGCTGTAATCATTCTTTTTGTTTAAGCATTATGTTCTTGTTGCTGATGTTGTCATATAATTGTTCAACTTAGGCCAGAAAACAAGAATTTTTGCATCCTCTATAATTGTTCAACTGAGGCCAGAAAACAAGAATTTTTGCATCCTCAAAATCCTCTTTCTTGTGTTTAACTGAAATACATGCAATGTCCTAGGAGAGCTTAGTCAAACACTGCAACACATTGACATATCTACAAATTAACTTTTGTTGGATTTTAAGCAAAGACATAACAGTTCCAGGGGGAAATTGAGGCTGGGCCATAAAATTACTACTGCACATGTTGACAGGCCTGTGTGGCATCAGCAAGAGCAGATGCAGTCCGATCTTCCTAGCAGGCGTTAAAGTTGTTCCTGTTGGGCATCTGGAAGCAAAGGGTGCCCTTGGCCGTGGCCAAAATGTTTTTAACATTGGCGCTGGCAAACTATGTGCTTGGCTGATGCTTGCAAGGTCCCCTAATTGGGTCCTAAGATTTTAAAAGTTGTATAATCCATCCATGCTTTTACAATGTTCTCTCATTTTAGGAACTGTCAGAAACAACAGGCTAACAGTGACGGCCACCAATCAAGAGATAGAATTTTATATAAAAAAATGGCTCCTCCTTGCATGTGACCGAGACGGAGGGAGAAGAGAACAAGAGAAACGAAGGAGTGTCCAAGACACCCGTAAGTCAGTTACATTGTGTTTTTACTATATGTGTGTAATAATTTGTATTATACCATGGTCTGTCTGAACACTTGATTCCGATTGGCTCTAAGGTGTGCATTAAAACCATTGGTAACACTTTACAAGGTTTCATTAGTTAACATTAGTTTACTACTTTAGTTAACATGAACTAAGAATGAACACATTTTCTAGAGCATTTATTAATCTTAGTTAATGTTAATTACAATACAATACATTAACTAATGTTAACAAATGAGACCTTATTGTAAAGTGTTACCAAACTGTTTAATAGGCAGGTAGTTTCAGTCCATTTAATCAACATTCACTATTATTGTGATGCTTCCATTAAAGGACACACACTCTGCTGTTTTTGAAGTTTTTAAAACTCTTAGCTTCACTCTTAGTAGAAAGACCCTGCAGAATAATTCATGAACTCATCTCTCACTGTCTTAGACATGTTGCGATTGTTAAATAACGGATTGCGTTATCTGATCTAACCATGTTTTTTTTCAGACAACTGTGATTATTGCACTGTTTTATTATGTGGCTGATAGCTGTCACATTTGACCTAGGTATGGCATGGCTGAGCACATATGGGCCAAACTTTAACCGTATATGTTTTGCCATGGATTTAGAATTGGAGGGAATTTTCATTTGGATGACAATTTTTTTGAGGTATATGGTCCAGATGATAACACAACTGAGAGCCATATGTGGCTTGGCTATGGCACACCATGGAATATGTTAACTTATGGTTAACATTTGGCTTTTATTTGGAAAAACACATATAAACTGCTGGCAGGTCAGTGGCAGCCCACATCTCAGCCCCTTCAACAATGCTATTGGTTGCTTTGTGTCTTCCCTTATTCCTATTGGTGGATTACTGAAATTTTGAAAATATATCCGTTATTTCCCGCTCTGCTTCCTTTTTCAATCGCCGTTAAAAAAGAAGAAGATGATGAAAACGCTCCCTATTTACAACAACAGCCAATTTGCTCAGACACATTCTTGTTCAGGTAAGTGCAGTTTTTGGTGTTTTAAATGTTTCTAGAGGTGTAATGGTACACTTATTCGTACCGAAAATTGTACCGAACAAATATAGTGTCAGGCATGGCTGAGCATATATGGGCCAAACTTTAACCGTATATGTTTTGCCATGGATTTAGAATTGGAGGGAATTTTCATTTGGATGACAATTTTTTTGAGGTATATGGTCCAGATGATAACACAACTGAGAGCCATATGTGGCTTGGCTATGGCACACCATGGAATATGTTAACTTATGGTTAACATTTGGCTTTTATTTGGAAAAACACATATAAACTGCTGGCAGGTCAGTGGCAGCCCACATCTCAGCCCCTTCAACAATGCTATTGGTTGCTTTGTGTCTTCCCTTATTCCTATTGGTGGATTACTGAAATTTTGAAAATATATCCGTTATTTCCCGCTCTGCTTCCTTTTTCAATCGCCGTTAAAAAAGAAGAAGATGATGAAAACGCTCCCTATTTACAACAACAGCCAATTTGCTCAGACACATTCTTGTTCAGGTAAGTGCAGTTTTTGGTGTTTTAAATGTTTCTAGAGGTGTAATGGTACACTTATTCGTACCGAAAATTGTACCGAACAAATATAGTGTCATTTTAACCACTGCAAGTGCGGAACTTAATCCGTTTCAATTCATAGCCGTGAATAAATCTTCACTATACATTATTACTATACATTACATTTTGTAACCGTAAGGTTTGTGTTTTGTTCTTTTCGATAAGAAACAAAGTCTCATCTTTAAAATTATGTATATTTTATCAGGAAATTAAATCCATAAATGCCGTTTTGACGCTCTTTGATGTGGCGTGACAGACCAGCGCGGAGAGCGACCCAGTCAGCAAATTTCCTTTGGCGCAGATCTGGATCATATCAACAGCTGAAGTGTGGCACAGATTAGTTCGTGTTTGCCGGCCCAAAACTGGTCCACATCTTTTTAGCCAGAACTGAACCAAAACAGTGCCATAACCCAACCCAGAGTGAAGCCATAAATTGTTCAGGAAACCACTGTTTATTAAAAAAAAAAAAAAAAGCAATTGTATGTTTTCTCCCCCTGCTGAACCAAAAATTTATGAAACTGTGATTTCAAAACTGAGGTACAATTACACTAATGTTTTCATTAATATTATGTATATAATTAAGTATTATGTCTAAAAAATAGCCTGTTATTAAAGTAGCTCAAATTTTCCTAATTTAAAAAGGCACTTGGGTGATAGAAAAGAATGTGTGCAGTGCTGATTTACACTCATTTATGTGCTTGTCTTGAAATAATATCTAATGTGTGATAC